TCTTGTTTGCTTCACTTGTGGACGCATAGGCCACCTAGCATTCGATTGCCCCTCTTCACCACCATCGCCTCCCACTGCCTCCATTTCCCCAAAATCAACCAATTCCCCTACGCCATCAAGATTTTCATCATCCGAACCAGTCGAATTTGCGTATGAATTACCGGAGTTGGGGTCTGAATCACTTAACACGGAGCCTTTGTACTACCTCTGGATGCTAGTCCAACGTCGTCCATATCATCAGGCGACCACCAAGCCACGAGAACGCCCACCAAAGAAGACCGCTGACCATCCAATTCCTGGGAAGTTAGGCACCACCGATGACCAACAAACCACATTCAATGTTGTCAGAGCAGGGGTAGAAATTACAGACTTGATCAACAAAAATCATGCCATCAGTGGACGGTGACAGGGAATGGAGATCGTGATGGGCTATGATTGAGAGCAAATCAGGACATTGATTTTGGTATGGATCATCATGCAGGAGGGTAGCTCCCTCTCACTCACGCTGATAAAAAAAGGGAAAATCTGGATTATGCCAAAAGAAGATGAGAGGAAGATTGAAGATGGAAAAAACAAAATTGAAGGGGCATCCACCTCTTCCCTCGCACGTACACACCCTACCGCCAAAAATAGGACAAAATGGGCCTCCCCCATTCACAAAACCCACAAGCCCAAAGTATACCTTTAATTCAAAATCACTCATGCCCTACGTTAACCCAAAGCCCATCCACCCAATTTTCTTCTCTTCTATCTGCTACCAAAACCGAGAACACCATTTCACTACCTTCAAATAGAGCTTGGGCTTGTTGACATTATGGCTAAAAATTCTGATGCTTCAAATTATATGTCATCCTTCAAAGCGGTTAATCGACAAGCCTCTACTTTTGAATTATCCCGCAATAATTTTTCATCTTCTTTGTTCCCTAACCCTTTCCTACAAGGTAAGCCTCAGATTGCCACAAATAAGGGGCGCAACATCAGCTTCACCCAAAAAATGAAAGGTTCTATGAGGGGAGATACCAACAAACGCCTACAGTTACGGCCAACCGAAGTTACCATAGAGAAAAAACAAAAGCAACAATTGGAGAATCTATCCCATGAATACATAGTTAACGATGATGTCCCTATTGCTATGTTTTTGGATCAATTGTCGGGGGTGGAGGCTGAGAGCACAATGACCACTACGAAGATAACTGAGACGTGTGTGATATTGAAGAATGCCACGACGTCTCCTAATGGGCCACATGTCGTGGTTGAGAAGTCCCAAGTTGTGTCCGAGTCTCTCAAGAAGAATTACCCGCAACCACCATTATTTACCATGAAGGAAGGAGACAATAATGTGAGTTCATTTCTTATGATCATCACCTTCTAGACAACTCCCGCCTCCTCTCATGATTCAGAGATGGCCAATTTCTATAATGGGCAGCCCCAACCTGCTAACAAAAGGGGTGTAAGTGATCATTTGTTGCCCTCAGCCGACTAGGGAAGCCCACCAAACCCGGGACGGAAAGCTGCAGAGGGTGACGAGAGACATTTTACAACTTGCGATACTAGAGGGGTAGGGAGGGAGTGCAAAACCAACAACCTCCTGAGATTAATCACAGGGAGTTCTTCCTCTTATCGGGTGAGGGTAGTCGTAGATTTACTAGTGTGTTTAATGAATACAAGAGAAAGCATAAACCTCATATAGGTATCATTGTGGAACCGCGCATTAGTGGGGACACTGCTAGAGATGTTATATTGGATATGAGATATGATAATAAGCATGTTGTTGAGGCCACAAGATTCTTAGAGGGTATTTGGCTTCTTTGGAACTCTAGTTACCTCGATATTACTCAGTTTGATACTCACGCCCGATATCTTCATGTGTAGGTTACTAACTCAGGTGCTCAGGTTACATCATGGCAACTCACTCCCGTCTACGCTAACCCTGCCCACATGCAGCGTAGAGCCTAGTGGAAAGCTATAGTTTCTCTTGCGAAAGATTAAAACCAGCCTTCAGTGTTAGCGGGGGATTTCAACTCCATTTTCCACCCGTTTGAAAGTTGGGTGGGGCGGCCTTTGATGCAAGTTGTATTCGGGACTTTCAAGATTGCATCCATTATTCGTGGCTTATTGATCTGGGATTTAATGGGCCGAATTTCACTCGGTATAGGAACGGTAGCCGAGAACGGTTAGATAGAGCACTGACAAACTCTAACTAGTTCTCTATCTTTTCGAAGACGTTGGTGCGACATCTTCTCCAAGTGAAATCTGATCACCGCCTGGTACTACTCTCAACCCACTCCGAGCACAAGCCTGCGGGTCCTAAACCTTTTCATTTTCTTGCGGCGTGGTTAACTCATGATGGATTTCTTCCCATGTTACAAGAGGCTTGGGCTAAGGGATCCTCGTTTAACCCTTCGACTGAAGCTTTCGCAAGGGATGATACCCTCTGGAACTACCATGCGTTTGACAATATCCAAAGAAAGAATGATGCTCTTATCAGAAAACTTGAGGTTCTTGAACAAAAAGATGGAGATATGGGGCTCTCATCCCAACAAGAGGATAATAGGGAGGAGCTCGAAATGATCCTATCACAGGAAGAGCTCATTTGGTTTCAGAAATCAAGACTGGAATGGATTGCTTCGGGTGATAGGTTACTTCCTACTTTCACCGAACGACCTTAAAACATCGATAGAAAAACAGAATTGTCACTTTAAAGGTGGCGAGGATGATATCGAGGCTACAATAATTGTCTAAGGAGTTTTTTCGGAGTCTTTACACTGATGAGATCGAGGCTACCCAAATCGTAGACCGTGACTTCTTGATCATTGACAGTCCAAGGTGGCAAGGTCTGGCCCTCCCTCCCTTGCTAGATGAAGTGCTCCATGCCATTAAATCCATTGGAGCTATGAAGTTTCTTAGGAAGGATGGTATGAATCCTTTGTTCTTTTAGAGATGTTGGGCGACGATGGAGGAACTCCATGGTGAAGCTGGCTAAGGACTGCTGGGAGGAGCCGAACATGATTCATACCATCAATTCTACAATACTAGTCATTATCCTGAAGGTCGTCGTGCCCACTCTGATTGAGCAACTCCAGTCGATTAGTCTCTGCAACGTGGCATATAAGGCTTTAACAAAGTGTCTTGCAGAAAGATTGAAGCCACTTATGCCTCGCCTGGTCCATGAAACACAAACTAGTTTGTGTCGTGCATGTATATAACTGATAACTGGAAGCAATAGGAGCCCCAACAAAGATGGATCCACTTCATGCGTGCCAAAAAGGGTAGATGAGGTTGGATGATGTTCAAAATTGATCTTGCCAAAGCTTATGATCGTATCCGTTGGAACTTTGTCCGGGACACTTTGGAAGCAGTAGGAGCCCCAACAAGCTTTGTTGCAGTTACCATGGCGTGTATTACCTCAGCTACCAAGCAGATTTAGTGGAACGACGGATTCACAAGCCCGTTATCACCATCGCGTAGCCTTACAAGGATATCTTCTTTCACCTTACACCTTTACGTTAGGTATGGAGCTATTAAGCCATTTGATCAATGCTTGAGTGAGGGAAAGCCATTGACAGCCTATTAGACTGACCAGAACTGGGCATTGAGGTCGAGCTAGGGGTGTTCAAATGGGTACCATGATTATTACCAAACCAAATAAGGCTAAATTTCATTAACCATGGATATACAATATCATAACCAAACTGTCCAAACTAATACAACAACCAAATTAACCAAATTAAAGTTTAATCGGTTTGGTTAATTGGTTAACTAGATTAACCAATATAAAATCACATTATCATTAAGTGAGAACATATCGATTAATTTATCAATTCACAATTTATATAATGAATAAAACATAACAATCAACACATAGTTATAGTTGACCATTAACATAAATACATGCAACTAAGACAATTATCTTACGGTTAGTATAGAAGTATTCACCTAACAAAATTTTATCACAATGGTATGGGTTAACAAATTTTTGTGTTTGTTTGAATTGAATTAGTCTTTTAGCAATTTTCATAGGCTGAAAAGGACCTTGGGTTCAAGTTTTCATCCAACATAATGTATGAGATTTATCTAAATTAGGCGTTCTTATGTTGTGGTCTACACTCTACATATACAAATATACATTATAGGGGTCAGACTGGTGTGCGTCAGGCGTATACTATACGTCAGGTACTATTAGTGAGATATCTCTATCTAGACCATGAATTAAATCGAGTTTGGGGTATGATACTATACCCTAACCTCTAATGGATAAACCCCAGGCACCGATTTTCTAAACCCTAACCCGAAGTTTGATTTAATGAAAAACAAAAATTGACCGTTGAGATCGGCCGGAGCTCATCTAACCACATCTAACGGCTAGATCACCTGACGTATAGTATACGCCTTACGTACACCAGTCATCACCTACATTATAGGAACAATATCAAGCTTTATATTTTATGAGTCTAAAAGGATGAACGTTCAACTCTTGAGTGGTTATTCAAAGTATTAAGTATGTGTATATATTAGATATATGGCTATTTATTTATCTGGTTAATTTGGTTTGACTGGTTATGAGTGTGTGACATCAAACCAAACCACCTAAACCAAACAAACTAAAAACTTTAACCAAACCAAACCAATTATCCAAATTAACCAAACCAAATTATCCAAATAATACTGGTTAAAACGGTTATCATGGTAACCATACCGTTTGAACACCCCCTAGGTCGAGCCCTTGTTTTCCCCACATCATAGTTACTATGCTATCTCCTCTCTCTTGGCAAAGGAAAGCGAGCAGAAATGGGGAGAAACGCACGCAGCCATCTAGAGAAAAGGTATTATAAACAGAAAAGTCTTCTACTCCACGCATTCGACCATAAGAATTTCCATCCATTTCTAGAATCCAATGACTTGAATCTCTCACTTTCCTCGTCCATTATGATTAAGTTCATTCAAACCCCATTAGATTAGTCCAAAGAAATCAGTCTTTCATTTTCCCAGGAGAAAACCACTTCAAATTCCAAATTTGCCCACCATCTTCTGAACCATCCTCAAACAAGTGCCCTCCACATTACAGTGAACGGCGGCGTCCAGAATGTCCAGAAATGTCATTTCAGCATTCCTAATGCCAACAAACTCTGGCCGGAGGAGTCAACAAAAAGAACCAAACAAAGAGCAGGCGTTTGCTGAAAACCGGTCGCCGGACCCACCACCGGCCGGACCCCCTTTTATACTTGAAAATGAGCTTTCCTTCCTCCCCAACGGAAACGCCCATAAAGTTCTCATTTTTGCCGCTTACGCATACGAGCTCTGTATATCTTCTCTGTTCCTCATTCACACAGTTGGCGCCATTGCCGAACTCTCTTGCGCTTTTTCCTGCGCCTTTGACCTTTTCCAATCCCCCTTCGATTTGAGTCAGTCCACAACTGCTAGCCTTCGAGAATCAGATAAGTGATCTTGGGCTCAGTTCAGTTTCAGTCATCTGATTCCACATTTGGTAGATTCCCGATCACGACGGTGCTTGTTGCGACCGCTTCGGATGGACGCTTCGGTGGAGAACGGTGGCTCCGGAGCTGAGGCAACTCCGGTTGGAAAATATGACAAGGAGGCGAGTGAGAGTGTTGATCAGATTCACAAGCCACCGACGACTGAGAAGGCCGATGTAGAAATGAAAAAGAAGAAGAAGAAGAAGAAGAAGAAGAGTAGAGTATTCGTGTATCGCCTGCCGAGAATCGGATGTTTGAGAGTGGAGAAGGACGGGGATGGGAACTTCGATATGGAGGTGGTGGATGACGACGGGACTTCTCCGAATCCGACCCATCTTGTTATAATGGTGAATGGCATCATCGGCAGGTCAGTATTTCATAAGTTCGTAGCCGGCAATGAATCTGCTTGTGTTTGTTTGTACGATTTCAGAATCTCAGTGAAGCCGCACCCAGAGATTCTGCTTCCCTGACCTGATTTTGCTGTCTGGAACTTTGCAGTGCCCAGAACTGGAAATTTGCTGCCAAGCAGTTTTTGAAGAGGTATCCACGAGATGTTGTTGTTCACTGTAAGCATTTCCCCCCTTTCATAGAGATAAGAATTCGAGCTATCGATTGATTATGTGGGAACTTGTTAACTAGGAGCTGACCTGTTCATTTCAGTAATTGGAAAGTTGGATTCCAGTTTCTGCTTGGTACTTCAGTTGCTTGCAATTTGATCTGATCTGTGTATCATTTGCTTTCTCCCTAAGTACGTTACATACCTACTTGATTATGAATGGATTGTGAATGATCTAAATGCAGGCAGTGAACGCAATTACGCAACTTTAACACTTGATGGGGTTGACATAATGGGGGATAGATTAGCAGATGAGGTTAGTTTTACTTTCTCAACCTAACCAGCATGTTCCCTACCTCCTATTCCCTTTACATTAGCTTGAGAATCTTTGCCCTTTGTATGAAGGTGTTTGTCTCAATACAAGAGCGTTTCCTTGGTTCAGGTTCTCTCAGTTATCGAACGCCATCCATCTCTGAAGAAGATCTCATTCATTGGTCATTCTTTGGGAGGGCTGATAGCAAGGTATGCAATTGGTAAGCTTTATGGAGTTGAATCTAAGAAGGAAGTTGGTCAAGACAATGCAGAGAGGAAGAATGAAGCTGATGTAGCACGGGAGAAATCATCAGAAGGTGAATTCAGTGGCAAAATTGCTGGACTGGAGCCTATCAATTTCATCACCTCTGCCACTCCACACCTTGGTTCAAGATGGCATAAACAGGTGATACAAATAAATCTCTTTGCTCATTTCCTTGGTTGGTTGAACTCTTCATAGCCTTCCTATGTTTCATGTTGAAATCAAATGCTTAGTTTGGTGATGCTTTCAAGCTACCCTGATACTCCAAGTAATGTTCTTGGCAAGCTTAGGAAATTTCTGCTGGTGGATTGCTTATGAAATTTCCACTCAAGGATGCAAATCGTAATGCATGTTTTGTCCCATATGATCACCCAACAAATTCCCTTTGTTGCTTTTTCTTTTGCCTCTTGTCTTATTTGAAATTTTGAATGGTGCGATTGGTACTTTTAGGTCCCCATGTTTTGCGGCTCTTCCGTTCTGGAAAAGACAGCTGCTCGACTGGCGTGGTTGCTTGGTAGAAGTGGACGACACTTGTTCTTAACTGATGGTGACAAGGACAAGCCTCCTCTTCTTCTTCAGATGGTTAGAGACACGGAAGATCTTCGGTTTATGTGAGTTTTCATTTCATCCACTTCTTTCTCGCCCGGTTCAATGAACACCATAGTGATGATGACAAATCATGAGAAAGAAATGCCTCACCATGTGTTATCTCTGCGCAGGTCTGCTTTACACTCTTTCAAGCGTCGTGTTGCATATGCAAATGCACGTTTTGACTGTATCCTTCTGAAACAACCATCTTCAGACAGTCCATAGATAATCTTTCTGTTCATTTGGTTTCACAAACATCAGTTAAAGGACATGAGAGTGGTTCAGCAGTCACTGTAAATTTCGTTGCTAAGTTTCTATACTTGTGAATTTTTTTTTGGGAAAGACTTGACTTTTTAATTATAGCCCTTGTTGGGTGGAGCACATCATCCTTACGGCGTCGACAGGAGCTCCCTAAGGTATGGTGTTGTTCTGCACAGAAGTTTTTGGGTTATAGACATGGAAGGTTTGTCACCGAATCTCTAATTGTTTTCCGATTATCAGAGACGGCATCTTAAGCGAGATGACAACTACCCGCACATTGTACGCATGGATCCATCAAAAACTTCAATCCCTCCAGAAGTTATTCCAGATACCAAAGATAATGGCTGTGAAGTTATAGACATGGAAGGTTTGTGCTAGCCTCCTCTACTACTCTGTCATTTTCATCTTAGTGGAATAAGAATCTTGCTACTCGCACCACTTGCAGAGGAGATGCTCAGGAGTTTGACGAAAATGAGTTGGGAAAGAGTAGATGTCAGCTTCAGTGGAAGTAGCCAGAGAATTTTTGCTCACAATACCATTCAGGTGATAACCATTAATTCTTCGCCCTTTCTCATTTCCAGCCACGTCACACGAAGCTAACAGAACCAGGGAAGCTCTGTTTTGAGAGAACCACCTTCACTAACATGGTTTGATTTCATTTTCTTTGATCACTGGCAGGTTAAAAGCAAATGGATGAACTCTGATGGTGCAGACGTGATACAACACATGGTCGACAACTTTCTCTTATAGAAGGAGCATGTCCTGACCTATCCATCGTTTTAACTAGTTGCATAGGAAAGCCAGACCCAATGGAGAACTGGGCGATATATGCAGACGGTACACTAGGAAAGCACGAACGAGTTAGAAATGAGAGACATAGGAAATTCATTTAATCTTTGTTTATTGTAAATGAAGGAGACACGAGAGAAAATAATAAAGAGCGGGCTGTTTCCTCTTGGCTCCTCCATAATCAGGTGACAGACTCTTTGTCTACTAATTATTCGGTGGCAAATTTGTCTTGAACATCTGCAAACTTGGCTCTTGAAAGCAGCAAATGCTTGCACTTGCAGCAGGACAAATTCTACCACTAAACTTAAGGAGGGATCACGGATGATCTTATTATGTTCAATCTTGGTGTTCCAGTGCTATGTACTGTAAAAGTACTATTGATCACATGTGGCCGTCTGCGGGCACAGTGTATAGAACACAGGTCCATGAATGAATGAATGAATGATTGCTGCCATTTTTCTGCAAAGCGAGCATTTATCATGTACGAAAACATGGTCCCTGTTGATGGGTTGTTGTTGGCGGATGGAAAGAAACGCACGAATAACGTTTTGGCTGGTGGTGGGCAAAGCTCTTTCGATGCCAATCTTCATTCCAAACGGCGACCTTATGAGGAGGTAAAGAAATTAACACAACTCTCTGTCTCTGATCTGATCTGATCTGATCTGATCTGATGCGTTCTGGTTTTATGGGTAGTTGGGAAGTTGATGACTGTGGAGGGAATGTGCGCAAATGGTTAAAAAGCGCCCATCTTGATATGGGGTCTCCTTTCTTGCTTCACCTTTTTTTCAAGAGAAGAAACGGTATAGCGCTGGGTGACTCGGTGGAGGACAGGACGTCTGTCTGAGTACCAATCAGAAAACGGTATGCTGCTGCAATCTGCAGCTGACCTCTCTCTCTCTTCTCTGTTTCTTGCTTTCTCATCTTTACCTTCCCCAAGCCAGATAATTGAGTAGGTGGTGAGAGATTGGAAGGAAGCCCATCACTCTCTCAGTTTACACTTTCCAAGCTTAGCCCAAAGGAATGGCCGGGACTGGAGTTCTGAATTCTCAAGCAAGCTCTCGATGATGATTAAAAACCCCCATTCTATGAGGCTACAGATGAGATGCCTACCCTCAAAATAGTAGTAGCATCCTTGGGAAACAGATACAATCTCAAAGTTATTTTAATTTTAATGCTTCTCATTCCGAGGCAGCGAAGCGAAACCCAAAGCCAGGAAGGAAGATATCTTGAAAGGGACCTCTGGCGTGTGATCTTGTATAACTGCCACCAACGGAGACGGAAGAGAGTGTGAGAAAAAATGAGGAAGAGAAAGGGAAAACTGTTCCCAAATCCCAACCCACTCCCTTTCAGATCTCAATAATAATGGTGATGTAATAATCTCAGAACGCAAACGTGTGATGGGGGCAGACAAAATGAAAACTAGAAAACGGGAAAAACCCCATTAGTTGGGCAATAATACAGCTATAGCCTAGGCTGACCCTGCAATTCTCATCTCATGCATGTCTCTTCCTCTTCTTCTTCTTCTCCAACTCCTCCATATATACATGTCTGTTTCTCTGGGTTTTGAGTATTTGTCTTTGTGCTTGTATTCTCCTTTCCTCTCTCTCTCTCTCTCTTGGTACTATCGTAATAGTACACGAGGAGTAGCTTTCTTTGGTTTTTGTTTTCCCTCTTGGCTGAGTTGGGGTTAGAGGTCCCTCACTCGCTCAGTCACTCGTCTCTTCTCTTTCTAGCCTGGTCTCTCTGCTGCATTACTCTGTTTTCCCCCACTTACACGTTTGAAAGCCTCTCTGTTTAATTATACAAAAGGAGGAGTGTAAAAGGGAAGATAGATTCTTTGGGGGGAGGGAAGGTGGCAACTGATCACTCATCTCTTTTGGGTTTTGGGGGTACGCTTTTTCAGGATTCAGATCTCTGTTTAGTCCTTTCTTTATCTAGCTGTTTGTTGCCACTATTTACTCCGTGTGTCAACCCAAACCCACCTTATCCCTGTTCTTTTCCCTCTCCCTCTGCTTCTTTTCTCCTAATATATATCATCCCATTTCTCAAGGCTCTCTGAAGTGAACTCAAACGACACCCTCTCCCTCCCTCCCTCTCTTTGCTTCCTTCTCCGCCAGTGGAAAGATGGGCAGTGATCAATTTTGCTTCTGTTGCCACAGAAAGAAGCAATTAATCTTTTCGTTGCTGGTTCTTCTGATCTCAAGCGTCATCCTTGTTAGATTTCAAACCGAAGGTAACCGAAGTTTGATTCCCCATTCCACTAGTAAACCTCTCCGGAAACCATTGGCCTCACTCTTTTTGTTTGTTGATTTTTTTTGCAGGAAGAGCAATCAGCAAGCTGCTTGAAGTAAATGGAGTTGGAGAGGAAGAAGGGAAATTCATGGTGAGGAGCAAGACAATAGGATCGAGGCCGCCAAAGTGCGACAACAGATGCGGCTCCTGTGGCGGCCATTGTGAAGCGGTCCAAGTCCCCGTGACGACAATGCAGGGGAGAAGGCCGGGGAGGAGCAGCCGTTTCAGTGTTGCCTACACCTCCAGAGGCGAAGATTACTCCAACTACAAGCCCATGAGTTGGAAGTGTAAATGCGGAAACTCCATTTTCAATCCTTGATTGATCAATCTCTGGGTGTAAGTAAGTAGATCAACAGCTGTTTCTTTTGGTTGGTGAGCAGAGGGAATGCGCAACTTCTGCTAATGTAATGTGGATAAACAATGACCTGCTAAACTGTATACTACTCCGATTCCTCTGCCTCATATCTCTATATCGGCTCCATGGATTCTCTCTCTGTCCATTATGGTGAAAGCATATTCATATTGCTATGTGGGTTTGCGAAAGTTGTCGCTTGTTTCGACTCTTTCTCTGTTGGCGTTCGCTGCCTTATACTCGATGCCGGTCGAAGCCGGTGCTCTGTTTTTTTTTTTTTTTTTTTTTGCCGTTTTCTAGTTTGTAACTATTTTGTTTTCGGAATTTATTCCCATAACTTTTTGGTATGATTCACTTGGATATATAGAGGCGCGACGGAGTAAGAAATGTGCTTGCTTCGGACTTACCATTGCAGTTAGTTTCCTTCTTTTCCGAATTGTCACGTCGTCCTACTGCTATTGAGCAGCAAAGCCCACTCAATTGACTCACTTTTCTTGCTCTGTTTTCGGCTCTGACGTACAGGATTCTTATATCTTGTTTTGATGGATTTTATGATACAACTTTTCTAATGGTTAGATCAACACTTATTAAGCTCTAGGCCAATCCAAGTTAAGGCTTGTCTTTGTCTTTTTTTTTATTTTTATCTAACCATTAGATTGGCCTAGAGCTTAATAAGTGTACAAAACTTTTAAAACCAATGTCCAATAGTTGCATTTCTTGTAGGCAAAATACACTTGTATAGCCAAAACTTTCGAGGTTTTGCCAATAATAGCCAATTTTGGAGAAATACCACTTATAGCCACATTTTTAAAACTTGCTTGACAAATTTAGCCATTTCCGTCAAATACTTTAACACCGTTAACAATTCCATCAGTTAAATAAACGTTAAGCTTATGTGGCTGCCACCTAGACGACACATAGCCGCCACGTCACATTTTAAAATAAAAAAATATATTTTTTGTATGTTGAATCTCATTTAACCTCCCTTCTTCTTGCGACAAGAATCCGGCGTCCTCTGCTTCGTCATCACCGTCGATTCTTCACCCCTGCCAAAAACAAAATCAAAGGTCGAAGACGCCTCGTCATCACCGTAGATTCTCCACCCCTGCCAAAAACAATCCTCGCCCCTGAATCGGGCTGCTCGTAGATTCATCACTCCAAATCCATCTTCTTCTTCTCCAAAAATTAATCAGACCAACACCCACCATATCCCTGACTTGTAAAAACCCACTGCGAGGACAAAAAATAAATTTCAGCATCGTCATCGTTCATCAACCATCTCGCTCCTCTACTGGTATAGATGATAGATCTGAAAAAAAAATCTTAAAGGAAAAGACTAAAATCTCCGCCTTCTTTCTTTCCTGCACAAATGCCGCCTTCTTCTTCGCGATTGATTTGAGGAAATCGTCGTCGACTTTTCATTTTTCACCACTTAAGTCTCCCATCGACCGGTGGCGGGTAAAACCTTACTTTGCGCACCTGAATCGAGCAAATCGTCGTCGCCAGCGCCGGAAGTGTCAGGATCGAATTCCTCAATGCTGCTGTCAAAATAATGGAGCGATTGCTGGAACAGAGTACCGATTCGCTTGTCCAAGTAAGAGTCTAGACCAGATCTGGGTTGTTGATTCTCCGCGCTCGAAATCTCTGGCGGCGGAACTGAGAATTGGGGATGGTGGCGGGTTGAATATTGCTGCTGTGGTTGAGTCTCCGATGGTGGGGAAGATTGATTCGCCTCTCCCTCTTCTTCCCTACTTCCAGCTTCTACGATTGGATCGACGCGTCCTTGAGGAGCTCGCCGCCATCTTTATTGAATAGCTTGTCTGGCGACCGTGACGATGAAGTTCTCGTCGGAGAGGAGGGCATTGTGGCTGGGCAAGCCCGAGAGCGAAGAGGGAAGCGGCGTCGTGGCCACGGTGGGGGAATCGGGGCGGTGGTGGTTTGGATCGGAATATTAGGATGCGTCTCTGAAAAGAGAGAAGCGAAGAGAGAGATGGGGAAAGTGAAAATGCACGGTGGGTGGAGAGTGGAGACTTTTGGGTGCACTTTAATTTTAATTTTAATCTTATAAAGTTAATCCACCGTGGAATTCAAAATAGAGAAACTCGCCAACTCAGCTTTTCCGTTTGTCCAGTCAGTCTATTAGTTGACACCGTTAAAGAATTGGACGAAAGTGGCTATAAGTGGTATTTCTCCAAAATTGGCTATTATTGGCAAAACCTCAAAAGTTTTGGCTATACAAGTGTATTTTGCCTTTCTTGTATTCTTTAGAATGTATCCTCTCTTTAGTTTTATGCACACAATTTGTATATAATTTGCTTGATGTGATGTGAATGATTGTATAATTTCTCGACTTTTAGTTGATACTAGATATGCCCGCTCGCTTCACGGCAAGTTGAAGATAAAACGGTAAATGTGTCTTTATGAAAGATTAAGTAAAATGTAATTCGTTCGACATAAGTCTAAGAACTCCAAGAAGAATCACTAAGATTTTGAGGGAGAGGTTAATAGTAATATGCACTCGCTGGTCAATGAATTTATAAATTAGAGGACATCGATATAATATTTGGATCTCGACGATTGTTACTTAGAGTATTTATGATTTTAACACGTTTATATTGAAATAGAAAAAGATGAAGGAATGTAGCATTTGGTTCCTTTGTGTTTTATGCCACTTTCGTCATTTTAATGGACAGTGAGAGAGATGTAAGTAAGAATGCAAAACCAAATCCAAATAAAAAGTAGAGCAATGTCTATTTTTTACCCAAATCTTTTCAAAATTCTTTTATTTTATCCAAACCTATCAAAATTCTATTTATTATCCAAACGTATTATAACTAATCAAAGTTTGGGCATTCATTCTGTTACCGTTAATTTTTTACTAACGGATCTCCACGTCAGCGTCCACATCAGCATCCACATCAGAAATTAAAAAAAAAAATCATAAAAAATGGCAAAATCTCTCCTCCACAGCGCTGCGACCGCTTTCTTCGTCTAAAAATCAGAACTAGTAAACAAATTAAAACCCATAAAAGCAAAGATCAGGCTGCAGAGGTCGATTACGACGAGGGCATGGAGTATACCCATCTTGTTTTTTGCAAAAGTATAGGGTGGGGGAGAAAGTCGAGGCGGCGGCGTGTGCGAATGGATCTATTGGGGGATATGGAGAATCGGTGGGTATTAAAAGATAGGGTTCAGTTCACTCGTGTTTTGCCATTGGACGATCAATTAACCCGAAACCCTACGGGGAGAGAGAGAGAGAGAGAGAGAGAGAGAGAGAGAGAGAGAGAGAGAGAGAGAGAGAGAGAGAGAGTTACATACAAGGGAGAGTGAAGGTGGACATGGAAGCGAAAGGAGAGGAAGCGAGGCGGGAAGAGCGGCAAAGGGTGGTGGTGGAGCCGACGAAGACACCGCCGACGACGAATTGGGGACGACGGAGAGGGAGGTTGAGGAGAGCTGGGATTTGGAATGGCTTGAAAGCGATCGTCCAACTCGACATTTTCGTCGGTCTAGCTCCTCCCTCTGGTTTATTTCCTCTTTCTCTCTCCCAGCAGATTTTCCTTTGGAGTAACTGAAGAAGAATTTGCAGCGACGAAAGTTAGAGCAGCAGCACTCCGACGTTTGGATTCAAAAGCACGATCCCAAAGAATTTGCAACAGAGCGACAACACGATCCCAAAGCTTCCCGCTCCGCCTCCTCTAATCGCGTAGTAGAGCTCTCCAAGCTGAGCGCCGCTTTGGACCCACGACATCTCTTTCTTGACTGTTTGATGTCCTCAATTGGAACTTGGATGCGCTCAACTAGGAAGAAAAAGAAAAACATGGGGGGAAGATTGGAGAAGATTTGGGGGAGAAGAATAGGGGAAAAGGAAAAATCTCTGGGGAACATTGGAGAAGATTTGGCGGAGAAGAATAGGGGGGAGAGAGTGGGTTTAATATTTATTCTTAAATTTCTTTTTAATTAAAAATAGAAATTGTCCTAGCCTGCCACATTGGCTTCCAACTCAGACTGGTGTTGCTCAGTCAACAAACATAACAGAACAATTAACGGTGGGTTAACGGTTGGATAATAAATAGAATTTTGATAGGTTTGGATAAAATAAAAGAATTTTGAAAAGATTTGGGTAAAAAATAGACATTGCCCTAAAAAGTATGCACAATCCTATAAAAAAAGTATGTATAATGACTGATAACCCATTTTAGAAGATTTCTCCGTCATTTTTTTATTTGAGCTCGAACTCGAGAGAGACTAAAGATGTAAAACCAAATACGAACAAATAGATCAATGATGCCCTTCTATTATACAGTTATATGCTTGATTTTTTTTTTACTAAGATTTTTGTTTCTAAAAAAGTAATATTTTCAAATTTCACATAATACAAATTTTTAATCGTGTGATCGATAAATTAACAATATAACCTAATGCCTAAATAAGAAAATCTGTTTTCATTCACAAATAAAACCATGTTGAAACTACTTAGTCAATCTTCCATTAGAACAATATACTATACATATAAAGTATGAAAGTAAATTAGACTTGGTGGACAATGAGGTGTCATATTCCAAATTGAACTCTATAAAAAAAATTGAATATGAAACTTGCAAAAATTGTCAATTGATAAAATTTTAAAATTAAAATGCAATCTTGTAATGCGCGTGATCGAAATACGTATGATCAGTCGAACTTAAGTTGAATAGTCGAAAAACTCACAAGTATTGTTAATATATAAGAATTCAAAAATTGATAAGATTCTAAAAGGAAAATTTATTGTCAGAATACGCTTGATCGAAGTACGTGTGATTAGTCAACTTTGAATTGAATAGTCGAAAAATAAAAAGGATTGTTAATCTAAAAATTCGAAAATTTGAAATGGATCATCGCAATACACGTGAATCATGATTGGAATATATATATATATATATATATATATATATATATATATATATATATGTATGTGGGGAGTTCTATGGTACCCCGGGTGAAATCCGGGGTACCACATACCTTGAGTAAGAAAATGCTATCCAGAACTTGAACTGACTGATTTTTCGGAGATGATACTATACTCTAATCCTTGAAGATCAACATCTAGGTCTTAATTCTCTAAATCTTATACCCCAAGATCAATTTAATTAGAAGCAATAATCGACGGTTATGATTCGTCCAAATATAGGCAAAAAAATCAATGCCCCATCTTAAGGTTTATAGTTTATGATTTAGATAATTAGGACCTAGGGTTCACTCATTAAGGGTTAGGGTATAGTATCATGCCCAAAAATCCTGCTAATTCGAGGTCTAGATAGCGTTTTCATACTCAAGGTACGCGGTACCCCGGATTTCACCCGGGGTACCGTAGAAGGCACCATATATATATATATATATATATATATGGTGGCGTATTCGGTGCA